CGGCGAGCAGCGGCCCAGCCCCTGCGGAGGCGGCAGATTCGGCCCGTCCAGCGGGATGGAGGGTCAACGGCCACCTCCTAATGGAGTCGCGCGTCGAGGGCGACGACTCCGAGCCCTTCCTGGTCTGCGCGGCTTGCTGGATGTACTGCCGCCTCCCCAGGTACGCGCGCCGCGGCCTGGGCAAGCCGTGCGGGGCCAGCGCGGCGGCTGGGCAGCCCAAGAGCAAGAAGGGCTCCAGAGCCCAGGCGCGGTCGGACTTCGCACGTGGCATCCTGCCAGCGTCGAAGGATCCGATCGCGCCGCTGGCCTCGCCAAAGGAGAGCACGCGCCTGCGCTGGGCGGCGGCACTCCAGGCCAGGCAGGGCCACGGCGCGGAGCAGCAGGCGCTCGTGGCGGCGCCCGTGCCAGCGCAGCGGCAGCCTGCAGCCGCCCCGCCCCCGCCACCTGCGGCTGGCGCTGGGAGCCAGGAGGCAGCGCCGCCGAGCGCCGCGGCGCCGCGGCGCCTGGCCGCGGCGGCCCCGCGGGCGGAGGCCGCCGAGCCGCGGCGGATCCGCCCAGGGCTCGAGGGCGTCCTCCGAGCCCACGGCTTCGCGGACGCTGCGGCGGCCCGCGAGCGCGGGAGAGCCGCGAGGGCAGCGGCCGCCCGCGCAGGCCGCGCGGCGGAGTTCGCCGTGGGCTGATGCGGGCTCGGCAGGTGGCTGTAAGCGCTCTCGCGGCCCTCCGCCTGCTCTGTCTCGTTCGAATGCTTGCATGCACCCCCTGTGCGCGCGCAGGGCCCTCAGAGATAAAAAAAAGGGATTCGTTCCTTATGTATCGTTCCTTTGGTCAACGCCCCGACTGTCGGCCCGTCCAGCTAAGACACCGGCCGGTCAGCAGGTGCCCTGCTGAAGTTGTTCAGCCCCCGATGGCCCCGGGGACCCACAGAAGCTCTGGGACACCTTCGGACCCTCTAAGATCGGCGAGGAGTTTGCCCAACGACGTCTTACACCAAGAGCTCGTATTGTGTGTGTGCGTCCACTGTGCACCGATCACAGCTGTGCCACGATTGGAATTGTACGCCTTCATGGCCAGGCCGCGAGGGCGTTCGCCACGATTCCTGGGCGCCAGGGCGGGTCGGTTGATGATTTCCCAAGAGGTCCGCTGAAAACACGTCCGTGGGCCCTCCAGCGCACCATCCTGACCTGTCTTCCCAGCCGCGTCCAGCCACGGCGATGGGAGTGCCCCCCCCCCTGCCACTTTGCCTTCTTGGAATATCTCCCCCCCTCGCGCCACCCTCTTCTCTCCAAGGAGAACACGCACGGGATCGGATGGCCTCGATGTGCGCACTGCGTCCTTGGTCGGCCATGGAGCAGAGGAGCTTGGCGACGGCGAAATTCAGCGTGCAGGCGCGCGAGCGTCCCACAGGTTGGGCAGGTTGGCACCGAGCTCCTTAGCCGACTAAGCGGCGTTGTGCACTTATCGAACCCCTCCCAGGGGAGGAGCGGCTGCGCCCACCAGTGGTTGCCGCCAGAGGCCGTTCTATCTCGAATTGGTTGCGCTCTCGCTTTTGCGCGTGAGGCCCCCGAGAAGGGCCTTGCGAGTGATGGCTGGGCGGGGCGGGCTGACGAAACAGGTGGGGAGGTTTGGTGACCAAACAGGACTGTCCCCAGAGCAGCCTCGGCCCAGGGCTCTGTCCTAAAGCTCTTTTCGATGAGAATCGAGCTGGGAATTCGAATGGGTGACGGATCGACCCGGGAATGCGAAGTAAGAGTAGCCATGTCTTTGCATCTTCTTGTTGCCTTTTGCTCGCAGCGTGGTGCCGACGCGGCTAAGAGTGCCATTGTCCAAGCGGGACATTACATAACGTGACAAGTTTGGCCCGACCGCATTGCAGATAATGCGGCATAGTGTGCTTGATTGCAGGTGCTGATCGTTCTGGCCGCACTACCAGCTCTTCTGGCTTTACTCGCGAATGGATTGCTACGCCACGTACTCGGTCTGCTTTACGTCATCGTCGTGCCTTCCATTGCTCAGTTCATTTTCGCCATACCCCATGCTGATGACTATCCTGCTTGCAGTGTTTGCGTTCCTTGACGCACCGCGTTTGGAATGACACCTCTTACATGAGCATGTGTGAGATGCCGTGCGGAGGCACATGAGACGCGTTTGTGTGCGTGTGTGTAAACCTATTTACAAATACATGTACATGCCATGTGTATATAGAGCGTCCTTCTGCCCATCCCGCTTCCGTGCCTGGGGTATGGGTCTGAGGCATGTTGCATGTTCGTTCGGATTTCGTCGAGGCCTCTTGGAGGCTTCCTGGAGGCAGTTCGAGGACTCTGGGAGTCTGTTTTGGGGCCTCTTGGGGCCTCTCTGGGCCTCTTGGGCTCTTGGGGCCTCCTGGGTGCCTCTTGTGGCTGATGGCTGGACTGTTTGGTTAGTGTTTTCCCTCTTGGGGCCGTGTAGGGCGAGAAGATATGGGCTTTCACTGCGTAGCTTGCACAATGTGGCTTCCACCACATACCTTGCGCCACATCGCTTTCGCCGTATAGCCTGTGAAGACCGGGTTTGTACCGCATAGCTTACACCACATAGCTCCCACCACATGCTTTGCCCCACATAGCTCACACCACATTGCTTGAGACGATGTGGGTGTACGCTCCATAGCTCGCACCGCCTAGCTGGCGCCACGTCGCTTGCATCACACATATTCCACCGCATAGTTTGCGACGATGTGAGCTCACACTACATAGCTTACACCGCAAAACTGGCACCACGTAGCGTGCGTGCATCGCGGGACCCATGTGGACGATCTCTCAAGCGAACTACCGCAGGATCCATACCGAACCAAGCAATTAATGAAGACGCTGCTGGCGACGGACAACGACGCATGCTTCGCATGATCATCAGACCGCCGATACGACGCACGACAACACAAATTGACCCTCACAGCAGCCAGCGACCACCAGACAACTAAGCACCAGACAACGACGCACCAAACAACGACCACTGCAACAACAGCACTAGCGACGACGCAGACAGCAACCCACCCCAGCGCGACACACCTGCCACACCTGACGTGCACAGCGAAGACGGCGAAATCAGCACTACAACAGACCTGCAGGAACCCTTGGTAGAGTATATACAGCGAGCGGCACGACGTGCATAATACCTCACGAAGTTCCACCGCATCGACTATTGGGAGACGGCTCACAAGAAAAAAGTATGGCGATTGGCTTCAAGAGTCGCAAACCACACCCAAACACGTTGGACACAGCAAGCGTTGCAATGGCGACCAGACCTCAACCCACGGCAGCGAGGACAGAGGCAGCACGGTCGTCAACGCAAACGTTGGGACGACGAAATCAAAATTTGTCTACGCCAACGCAGACCGGACCTTCACCGACCGACCGCACGTACCTGCGTGACAGGAGAACCAAACGACATTACATGGACTCAAACAGCACAGGGTTCCGAAACATGGACGGCGTTCGAGCACCACTACGTCGACCCCTCACCAGCAGACACCCAGAGCCGAAGCCAATGACGCGAACGCCCAGCGAGACATCCTACGTCGACACCGACACCAAGGACTTTCTCCTCTTCCTCTCCCTTCCTTCCCGCACAGGCTGACACGACCGACCCCAAGGACCATCCTCCCTCCGTCCCTCCTCATGTTTGGCGCATTTGTCTCGCATTGCATGTTGTCCAGACACACCAGATTCCCGAGGCCACGGCCTCGCCCACCCGGTCATGAGCAGGCCCGGACGTTGTCCGCAACGGTGGTCGTATCGTATCGTATCGTATCGCTCCAAAAGCTAACACATCGAACATATTGTGAGGACCAAGCGGAACCGCAGCCAAACCAGGCAACTCGCGAGGACATCTCAGGCAAAGCCGCGCCCAAAGGATGCCAAACAATGGCAATCGTGAGCACGCCTAAGGCGAAACCGCACCGAAACAAAACCAAGCCAGGCAAATTGTGCGGAAGTATCAGGCGAAGCCGCGCCGAGACCAAGACAGAGCAAGCACATTGTCAGCTCGCTTCAGAGGAAGCCGCACCATAGTAATACCTGACCAGGCAAATTATGAGGATCTACCATGCAAAACCGCGCCGACACCAAGACAAGCCAATCAAAGTGTGATAATGTCTCTGGCGAAACCGGCCCCGAACCAGGCCAAACCCGGGCCCAGACCAGGCGGATTCTCAGGGTGTCTCAGGCGGGGGGGGGGAAACCACGCCAAACCAGGAGCCAGGCCAGGAGTCAAGCCAGGCAAGTTCTGAGGGCGCATCAGGATGTATTAGGAGACGCGCCTCAAACCAGTATAAGCCCATGTAACCCTTTAGTATTAAATCTAATACCAAAGGAATGGATGCCCCATGGGGGTGCCCCCTCAGGGGGTCGTGCAACTTGAACTCTATGGGAGGCGAGGAAGTCTCTCCAACAATGGTCGATGTTGATTGCAACTGCTGTCGAACCATTGGGCCCCAACCACCACTTTTGCGGCCTCCCGACGGCTTGTCCAAACACGATCTATTCATGCGGTTTGGCCGCAACGGGATGTATGTGCCTGGGATGCCACAGCATATGTGTGCTGCTCGGGCACCACAGCATGCATGTGTCTTCGGATGGTTCTCCGGGCGACGGCGGCGCGTTAAGAGAAGTATCGCCGAGGATGTAGAAAGCTTCTGGCGGGGGGCCCTCGAAGCGGGCCTGTTGTAGCCTATTGGACGCTCCTTCGGATCCTCTAGGGGGGGTCATCGGGCCCTCTTCGGCTGTCCTCTTGGTCCCTGTTGGGGCTATCCTGGCGGTCGTCAGGATTATCGGGAAGGAAGCAGGGGGTGGTGCGATATACCTTTGTGCGTGCGACGCATGGGGGGGCATTCCTGCAAAGATGCAGCGCCACAACGTCATGGCCAACATGGTGGAACATATACACGGTGCAAACCTTGCATACCGGCCAATTGCATTCCTTTGACTCTCTCGGCTGTCATGTTCTGCGTTGCATGATTTGTCTTGATGGCTTCTGTTTATATCAATGATGACAAGTGCGACTGGCCAATTCACGTGTCGCGCTCCCTTCACACAGTCTCGTCTCGCCTGACACTCCGTGCATGTCACCCATACACCACAGCATTCCCAGAGTTTCATCCTCCGAATGCTCGTACTTGTGGTCTTCACGCTCTCCTCGCGCCCCAACTCCTCGGCAATGTTATCTTCGCCATCGTTGCGATCCTGATGGGGGTCGTGTGCACCCAGATGATCCACGCTGTTTGTGTTACAGGCTGCGAGCATGCGTTGGGCTGTCGAAGCAGTTGAGTGTGGTACCGGCGCGCAGTCTCCGAGAAGTCCCGCGGGGCTACCAGGGCCGTTGATTCGGGATCCCATGTTGGGCAATTTGCGGGACCCTTCTCTATGGGCAACGTCAAAGTGAGACACGTTTTTTGCAGGCGGACTTGCCTTCAAAGTTTTCATGGGCAGCATCGCATACGCATCTTGCCTGGCCGCACGTCTGGGCAGCCTTGCTTCAGCAGTGGGTGCATATTGTGGCTGCCTGCTCGATTAATCAGTCGGGGAGCTATTGCCGTTGCACATGTCCAAGGCGCATCGCGTTGTTTCGATCACGTGAGCCGGCTTCAAAGACGCAGATGGGCTAATAAGTTGTCACATGCAGGTTCAGCTCAGAGAGTGTTAGAGCCTTTTTTCGATTGCATTCGTCGGAGGTGAGGGGGTGAGATCGAAGTGGAACGGAGAGCCCCCCTACCGGGAAATCGGTTTCGGTTTCGTGTTCGTGCGAGCCTTGCGTGCGGGCGAGGCGAAGTTGCGTGGGCGGGCGAGAAGAATGTCTCCTCCGGCTGAGCCGCGGTCGGACTAAATGATTCCTCTCCGGGGGGCGGTGCCGCGCGGTGTCCCGCCGGTGTCCCCCCTCCCGCTGAGGCGCGGCCGGACCAAATGTTTTCTTTCCAGGGGCCGGTGCCGCGCGGTGTCCCGCCAGTGTCCCGCCAGTGTTCTGTCGGTGTCCAGATGATGATGATGATGATGATGATGATGATGATGATGATGATGATGATGATGCTGATGCTGATGCTGATGCTGATGCTGATGATGATGATGATGATGATGATGTCGATGATGTTGATGATGATGATGGTGATGGTGATGGTGGTGATGATGATGGTTTCCCGATGATGATGATGATGATGATGATGATGATGATGATGATGATGATGATGATGATAATGATGTTGACGATATTGATGATGATGGTGATTATGGTGGCCATGGTGGTTATGACGATGGTGTCCCGATGATGCTTATAAGGTTGATGATGCTGATGTTGCTGATGATGATGATTCGGGTGTCCCGATGGTGATGATGATGTTGATGATCATGATGTTGTTGATGATGATGAGATGATGATGATGATGATGATGATGACGATGATGATGATGATGGTGCTGATTATCGGGATGAAGATGATGATGATGATGATGATGATGATGATGATGATGGTGTCCCGAAGCTGATAGTGATGATGAGGTTGATGATGCTGTTGATGACGGTGATGATGATGATGATGGTGTCCCGATGCTGATGATGTTGATGATGATGCTGATGATGATGGTGTCCCGATGATGATGATGATGATGATGATGATGAGGATGATGAGGATGAGGATGAGGATGATGAGGTGATGATGATGATTGTGATGATGGTGGCCCGACGATGACGATGCTGATGTGGATGATGATGGTGTCCCGATGGTGATGATGATGGTGATGATGATGATGGTGACGATGATGATGATGTCCCGATGGTGATGTTGATGTTGATGATGATGCTGATGATGATGGTGCCCCGATGATGATGATGAGGTTGATGCTGTTGTTCATGATGATGCTGAGATAATGATGATGGTGGTGTTCCGATGCTGCTGATGATGATGGTGTCCCGATGATGATGATGATGATGATGATGATGATGATGATGATGGTGATGGTGATGATGATGATGATGATGATGATGATGATGTTGACGATGATGATGATGGTGACGATGATGGTGTCCCGATGATGCTGATGATGGGAATGATGATGATGATGTTGATGATGATGGTGATGAGGTGATGATGACGGTGGTGTCCCGGTGATGATGATGATGATGCTGATGTGGATGACGTTGGTGACGATGAGATTAATGATGATGTTGGCGTTGGTTGTAAAATCGATTGTGTTATCGATAGTGAGCTCGATAGTGAGACCGACTTTGAGATCGATTGTGATATCGATAGTGAGATCGATAGTGAGATCGATTGTGAAAGCGATAGTCAGATCGATTGTGAGATCGATCGAATGAAATAGATCGAGTGATATCGATTGTGAGATCGAATGAGTGAGATCGATTGAGCAAGACCGATAGTAAGCTCGATAGTGACATCGATCATAAGACCGATCGAGCGAGACGTTGGTGCCTCCCCCCCGAACCGCCTTAACACCCGAAGGGTGGTCGTATACGTAGCAACCGGTTTCGTGTATAGTGGTTAACGGCGCCTTTTCCCGTGCTGATTTGGGCCAGGGCATTGGGTTGACAGGCTGAGTTCAGACCTTGATAGATTCACGGTATCATGTTCACGCGGTGTCCAGGAGGCTCGGCCAATTCGCGCCGCGATGAGGCGCAGTAGGGACAATATATATTCGAAGCATTGTAGTTCCCAACCCTCCTGTGGTGGGTACTCGTTTTGAATCGAGCAGTGTGGTCTCCACCCTCCTTCTCCCGCCTCCTCCTCCTCCTCCTCCTCCTCCTCTCCTCTCCTCCTTCTCTCCTGTTTTCTGTGTTCCCTTCTCCTCTTCTCTCGTGCCGTCTGGTTCCTGATTTCTGCCTCGCCGTCTTGTCTGTTGGGTGGGCGTGCCCAGGGGTTGCGGCACTCTTCGTGGGCTCCTGGGAGGCCCAGCGGAGGTACGTCATACGCAGACGACCTCGAGACCTCGCCGCCCCCTGGGGGGCTTGCGATCGGCGAAGCTGCCGGCACTTTCGTGGGTTCCTGGGAGGCCCGGCGGAGGTACGTCATACGCGGACCACCTCGAGACCTCGCCGCACCCTGTGGGCTTGCGATCTGCGAAATTGTCGGCACTTTCGTGGGTTCCTGGGAGGCCCAACGGAGGTACGTCATACGCGGACCACCTCGAGACCTCGCCGCCCCCTGCAGGGGGGCTTGCGATCTGCGAGGTTGTCGGCACTTCGCGGGCTCCTGGGAGGCCCAGCGGAGGTACGTCAGACGCGGACCACCTCGAGACCTTGCCGCCCCCTGCAGGGGGCTTGCGATTTGCGAAGCTGTCGGCACTTTCGTGTGCTCCTGGGAGGCCCAGCGGAGGTACGTCATACGCGGACGACCTCGGGACCTCGCCGCACCCTGGGGGGCTGGCGATCTGCGAAGTTGTCGGCATTTTCGCGTGCTCCTGGGAGGCCCCGCGGAGGTACGTCATACGCGGACGACCTCGAGACCTCGCCGCCCCCGTGGGGGCTTGCGATCTGCGAAGCTGTCGGCACTTTCGTGGGCTCCTGGGAGGCCCCGCGGAGGTACGTCATACGCGGACCACCTCGGGACCTCGCCGCCCCCTGGGGGGCTTGCGATCTGCGAAACTGTCGGCACGTTCGTGGGCTGCTGGGAGGCCCAGCAGAGGTACGTCCCACGCGGACCACCTCGAGACCTCGCCGCCCCTTGGGGGTTTGCGATCTGCGAAACTCTCGGCACTTGCGTGGACTCTTGGGAGGCCCAGCGGAGGTACGTCAAACGGGAACCACCTTGAGACCTCGCCGCCCCCTGGGGGGCTTGCGATCTGCGAAGCTGTCGGCACTTTCGGGGGCTCCTGGGAGGCCCAGCGGAGGTACGTCATACGCGGACCACCTCGAGACCGCGCCGCCCCCTGGGGGGCTTGCGATCTGCGAGGTTGTCGGCACGTTCGTGGGCTCCTGGGAGGCCCAGCGGAGGTTCGTCATACGCGCACCACCTCGAGACCTCGCCGCCCCCTGGGGGGCTTGCGATCTGCGAAGCTGTCGGCACTTTCGCGGGCTCCTGGGAGGCCCAGCGGAGGTGCGTCCCACGCGGACCACCTCGGGACCTCGCCGCCCCCTGGGGGGGCTTGCGATCTGCGAAACTCTCGGCATTTTCGTGGACTCTTGGGAGGCCCAGCGGAGGTACGTCAAACGGGGGCCACCTTGAGACCTCGCCGCCCCCTGGGGGGCTTGCGATCTGCGAAACTGTCGGCACGTTCGCGGGCTCCTGGGAGGCCCAGCGGGGGTACGTCAGACGCGGACCACCTCGAGACCTCGCCGTCCCCTGTGGTGCTTGCGACCTGCGAAACTGTCGGCACTTTCGTGGGCTCCTGGGAGGCACAGCGGAGGTACGTCATACGCGGACCACCCCGAGGCCTCGCCGCCCCCTGGGGGGCTTGCAGTCTGCGAAGCTGTCGGCACTTTCGCGGGCTCCTGGGAGGCCCCGCGGAGGTACGTCATACGCGGGCCACCCCGAGACCTCGCCGCCCCCTGGGGGGCTTGCGATCTGCGAAACCGTCGGCACTTTCGCGGGCTCCTGGGAGGCCCAGCGGAGGCACGTCATACGCGGACCACCTCGAGACCTCGCCGCCCCCTGGGGGGCTTGCGATCTGCGACGCTGTCTGCACTTGCGTGGGCTTCTGGGGGGCCCAGCGGAGGTACGTCCCTCGCGGACCACCTCGAGACCTCGCCGCCCTCCAGGGGGCTTGCGATCTGCGGAATTGTCGGCATTTTCGCGGGCTCCTGGGAGGCCCGGCCGAGGTGCGTCATGCGCGGGCCACCTCGAGACCTCGCCACCCCCTGGAGGGCTTGCGATCTGCGAAATTGTCTGCACTTTCGCGGGCCCCTGGGAGGCCCAGCGGAGGTACGTCGGACGCGGACCACATCGAGACCTCGCCGCCCCCTGGGGAGCTTGCGATCTGCGAAACTGCGGGCACTTTGGTGGGCTCCTGGGAGGCCAAGCGGGGGTACGTCCCACGCTGACCCATTCGGGACCTCGCCGCCCCCTAGGGGCTTGCGATCTGCGAAGTTGTCGGCACTTTCGCGGGCCCCTGCTGCCCCGCGCTTAGTCGGAATTGAAAGATTGAGCCCGCGGCCACCCCGCGCTCAGGGTTACAGACGACTACTACTACTAAGTAATAATAAGCAACATCATTATAATAACAACCCTACTCGCCAACATCATCATCATCATCATCATCATCATCATCATCACCATCATCCGTAGCCATG